GTCGGGGAGGGCGATTCCAGAAACCCTCGCGAACAGGGAGGTCTCTTTCCACCTCGGCGTCGCCTTCGTGGTTGTCCCACCGTAAAACCAAGCGCTCAGCCAGTAGCGGATCCCAACGGTAATAACCCAGCGCCAACTCTAGGTTCTCCTCCTCGTCAGAGACGACCTCACGACCCACCTCGTCGGAGATCGTCCGGCTACTACTTTCTGCCGCTCGTTCCGCCATTCTTCCCGGCGGTCGATAAACTCAAAGCGAAAATAAAAAGGAAAACGTGCTAACTAATTGAAGGACGGAAGGGAAAGAAGGTGAAAAGACTTACCAAAAGCACACGGCGGGGTCAGGGACGCCGGGAACGATGACCGTGAGAGTAGAGGAAAAGGTGAAATCGAAAGCAAAGGGTCAGGCAGAGAGAAGGTTGTATGATTCGAGGAAAGGAAAAATGAGAAGTATTTATACTCAGAAGATGTAACCGTTACAAAGATAACCGGCGATTCGCGAACCGCCACCTTAAAGGATAGGGACGCTCTGTCTTGTCTCAACGGAAACACGCGGACCAATACAGGACTACCACGTGTGAAGACTGTCAGAGATCGTGGGAACGTGCAAAGAAAGGTTGAAACCGCTTAAAGTCAGAAGAAGGCAAGCGCGTCGAGTCGTGTCATCACGCGCCATATTGGAAAGTTCATGAACCGCCAGACGGGAAGAATCGCGTTTTTTGGCTAAGTATAACAGGTCGGTTGAGATTCAGACAGAGGAGGTACAGATATACACCAGGAATGACATTAAGGCGGGCTTAAGTATAAGCCCCCCTCACGTGGACGACGAGAAAGTAAAGGGGGCAAGCCGAAAAGTGCCGAGAAAACGTTGCCCGACCTGTGGGGGGCCGACCTCATTAGGAAGCCGACCTTGTCTGGAAGCCGACCTCCTGAACGAAGTAACCTCGGGCGCAGGCCGACGTCGGAGCAGACAGGCAGCATTTAATGCAAGTACCATCGACTGTTCAGAGCCCATGTGGAGACATCATTGCGCGAGGGGGCCCCACTGACAGAAAAAGCTGCGCAGATGTCATTCCTCATTAAATGCCGCCGAATCTCCTCAAAAGATGGGCCCCCAGTTACTATAAATAGCAGCAATAAAGGCAATACGAGGATCTTTTTTCCCGACACATAAATTCTGCATTAATCACCTCGGCTATCGCCAATTTTAGCATCATTGTACAAGAAAAACCGACCTCAAGTCCGCGAAATACCGACTTGATATTTTCCTAGATAATTCCCAGTTATTCAATAAAATCGTCTCATTACGCTATTAATCTAAAAAATATAAATATAAAAAAGTTGATCAAATCCGTTTATCAACAATATGTTTGGACAAATAGGTTAGCTTATAGCTTATTTGGTTAGCTTATAAGCTCTCTGTATTCAAAGAAGTCATGTTTCGTAGGACGAGTCTTTTTAAAAAGCTCGAGGTTATTTGATAAGCTTCTTTAGGTAGTTTTTCAAATAAGCTAGTTGAATTTTTTATGTTAGGTAGTTTATCGGTTAATTTTACCAAACACTTTTATCATATAAGTTAGCTTTTCAGCTATAAGTCATAAGCTATAAGACTATATTTATCTCCAACACAACCTAACCTAACCTATAATTAAAAATTATTTCACTCTCCTCCACATATACAACTCAATCTTACAACCTAATTAATCTTTATCCCCAACCTAACCCAACCTAAATATTTATTACAATTTAATTTATTTAAAAATTATAATATTATTCCAAAATATATCAAGTGTGGTATCTATTTGTAGAGAATGAAAAAATACGAATTTTTAATATCTTTTTTTATTTTTTTTAAACAAAAAAAAATACACTTATCCAATCAAAATGGGACATGCGTCCCATTTCTCAGGTCGCGACCCAAGGTCGCAATGTGACCTGGGTCGCTGTTTTTTCACGACCTTCTCTTCTTTTTTTTATTTTATTTTTTGTTTTTAAATGGTGACCCAATGGTTGGGTCACCACTAAAGTTGGTTTAAGTTATAAGTTCGAAAATTACTGATAAGTTATATAAGCTAGCTTATCAGCTATCAGTTAACTCAGCAGCTAGTTTTTTTTCACAAGTTATTTCTAAATTAAGGGAAAATGTTAGTTCATCAAATCATAATTTTCATAATTTTCCATGTCAAAATCTTTTTTTTATGCATCACTTAGATCATTTTCCCAAAAAAGTGAGTCATGAATGCGGTCTTTCGTCTTTGTACACTGAGCAAAGCCTAAAACCGGCGAGAGAGAGAGAGGATAAATTGATGCAATCACACCACCGTCAAATCACTTTCAATCCCCCCCACCAAAGAATCCAATTGATCTGATTGGGGCTGTCACATTTAATGAAAGACCCCCCTAATTTTAGTAATTTCGATTTTTTTTTAAACATAAAAAAAAAATAAAGTTACGGTTTTTATTATATTATTATTATTATTATATTTGATTTTTGAAAATTTGAAAATGTGAGGAGAGCTTTTATAATTTATATATATTGGGAATGGAGATATGTTTGAATTGTCAGTTTGCGGGCAGGGGTATGTATATAAATTGTGTGTGAAGATTAGTGAGAGAGGGGCAAAGTGGTCATTGGAGTTCGAGCTCTTTCTCGGGGCGGGTCGTGCATGTCTCCATTCTCCAAGACACTGAAATTCCGGCGCGGGTCTAAAGTCGGGGCCCGCTTTTTCGGTTGAGGGATAAATTACAGTTTTGTCCCAACGGTTTCATTCGTTTTGTTTTTTTTCTTGCCCAACTGCATAGGATTCTTTATGGAACACGTCAGCGGTTAGAATCAACGGTAATTTTTTTGAAATCGAGGGGTTATGTACACTGTGGGAGCGTCCACGGTTACTTTTTACGTTGGACGAGGGGTATATTTGTAAATGCAGATTGGGGGGAATCCGTTGTCCAGATTGTGTGCTTTTGAAATTCGGCTACAATTACGATCCCCAATGTTATGTTATTATGTTGGTTGACTTTTTTTTTTT